GGGAATATGGCGGTGGAGGTGTGAGAGGGAATATGGCGGTGGAGGTGTGAGAGGGAATATGGCGGTGGAGGTGTGAGAAGGAATGCGGCGGTGGAAGTGTTAGGGGGAATATGGCGGTGGAGGTGTGAGGTGGAATATGGCGGTGGAGGTATAAGAGAGAATTCTGGATAATCAGTTTTGTACCTTTTTGTTTGTGCATTTGTTTCATCACTATATTTATAATGTTTTATAACGATGTAAATCCACCCTAATGGCCCCCAGAATGCACCTGTTCTTCCCTTCCTTGTTGGCTGAGGATCATTCTCCAACTTGTTGCTTACATTTTGTAATTCAGCTCATATGGGTTTTCTCTGTTGGTAAATTGGAGAGTTTGTTCCCCATTGGTTCATTGTCTGGCCCCCCCGCTGCTCTCAGAAACCCATCCTTCCTTGCACCAGCTGGTACGGGGAGGACTATTTTTGGATGTACCGGCTGTTTCAATGATTCACAGCTTTTCTCAAGTTCTCTTCCCGTAATTATTTAATGGTCCAGCTGACTACACGTACAAATATGCTATATCATGATGGAAACATATGGAAATGAAAGCAAGTTACTCTCGTGGTGTTTTCTTTCAAAACACAGACATGATTAGTGGTCTGGAGATGAATTACGATGTTACATCGAGTCCTCGGCTGGTTTTACTTTGTATCATTGCTGTCTTGAAATGAGAAGTTGAAAAAAATGATTTCATCATTAACACACCGCGCTTTCTATATCCAGAATGCCTTCCACCCTTTATAATACCCAGGGCAAATCGCACTAAACGGTACAAGTGGGCACATATTTAGTGGAAAATAAGAGTGGGTGCAAGTGGCATCAGGGAGGCAATCAACAAGTGGCATTAGCAGACAGAACATAGCAAATGTGGAGGGAATGTGGCATGAAAGACACAGGGAAAATGGTAATGGCCAAATGTGACGTGGCCTAAGAGGGAGTGGGCAAGTGGCAGGGCCCCAGCAATAATACTCCCAGTAATGTGTCTGAGTATATAACAGAGCTCCACAGCAATAATACTCCCAGTAATGTGTCTGAGTGTATAACAGAGCTCCACAGCAATAATACTCCCAGTAATGTGTCTGGGTGTATAACAGAGCTCCCACAGCAATAATACTCCCAGTAATGTGTCTGAGTGTATAACAGAGCTCCCGCAGCAATAATACTCCCAGTAATGTGTCTGAGTGTATAACAGAGCTCCACAGCAATAATACTCCCAGTAATGTGTCTGAGTGTATAACAGAGCTCCACAGCAATAATACTTCCCAGTAATGTGTCTGAGTGTATAACAGAGCTCCACAGCAATAATACTCCCAGTAATGTGTCTGAGTGTATAACAGAGCTCCACAGCAATAATACTCCCAGTAATGTGTCTGAGTGTATAACAGAGCTCCACAGCAATAATACTCCCAGTAATGTCTGAGTGTATAACAGAGCTCCACAGCAATAATACTCCCAGTAATGTGTCTGAGTGTATAACAGAGCTCCACAGCAATAATACTCCCAGTAATGTGTCTGAGTGTATAACAGAGCTCCACAGCAATAATACTCCCAGTAATGTGTCTGAGTGTATAACAGAGCTCCACAGCAATAATACTCCCAGTAATGTGTCTGACTGTATAACAGAGCTCCACAGCAATAATACTCCCAGTAATGTGTCTGAGTGTATAACAGAGCTCCACAGCAATAATACTCCCAGTAATGTGTCTGAGTGTATAACAGAGCTCCACAGCAATAATACTCCCAGTAATGTGTCTGAGTGTATAACAGAGCTCCACAGCAATAATACTTCCCAGTAATGTGTCTGAGTGTATAACAGAGCTCCACAGCAATAATACTCCCAGTAATGTGTCTAAGTGTATAACAGAGCTCCACAGCAATAATACTCCCAGGAATGTGTCTGAGTGTATAACAGATCTCCACAGCAATAATACTCCCAGTAATGTGTCTTTAAACTACAATAAATGTGTTTATAAATCAGTCTGTGTAAATAAGATACATCATTCTTGTTATAAATTACATTTGTGTTTTATAAATTGTTATTAGTAAGAACAGCTCACCCCTGGCTACACCCCACGCACCCCCCTAAATTAAAGTGCCCCTCTTTGTCCACGTGAAATGTTGGGAGGTGTGAAGTATGGATTGGTTAGGGAAGTTGATGTGAAGGGTCAGACAGTAAACGATGCAGTGAAGTTGAAGGGGAGATCCAATTTTGAAGTCATCAGGAACATCCTGTATGAATGTTATCTTTATAATGACAACAACTATCGAAAATATTGCAAAAAAAGAGCAATCACAGGACAGAGCGTTAAGTGACGATGCATTTCAAATAATGAAGGTCAGCCGATGTTTAGATAATCAGCCTTTCATGGCAGGAATGATGTAATACTAAACGAGAGATTAAGTAACCTCAGGAGAAAGAAAAAAATATTGTTGGGGAAAATATTATGATTATATATGTGATTTCTCTCAAAAGGTACCAATTGGAAGTATTGGTCGTGAGAGACGAATTATACAACAAATATGGGGAAAAAGATTATAAAAACAGGAGGAAAAAAAAGATTCAGAACAGTATAATAAATTATGGAAATCTGCAGGGAAAAAAAGCCTTACAGCAATTAAACCTGCCTTAATAAATAAATAAATTGAGAACATAGCAATATAACGTTATATTGTCATAGCAAACATAACAAATAACCAGTGAACTACCTTTTTCCCACTGGGTCACTAACTGGTTAATCAGCATTGTGCGTTTACACCGAGCTCCTCAAGCACAACCCCAAATAGACCCCCATTTATACAGCTTGAAACCAGGTTAAATCTGGGCCCTGCGTCACAGAAAGAGATGCCACCAGGGATTAAAAGGAGATTGTATCCTGAAAACAATATATATTAATAGATATGGATCCAAGGCACCATAACTACTTCATGCCATTGAAGTGATAATGTTGTCTGGGGCCCACCAGAGCCATCCCGTGGTTCATTAATAACTATTCTTGAAGAATTTTCCTTAAAACGAAGGTCCACCTGCAGCCTGGACCCCGATAGAGGTAAAGCTAAGATGGTTATGCAACCCACGAAAACAATGTCACAGACATTTTCCCCACATATTCTATAATCCTTAACACGTATATTATCCTATATGTGTTTCCCCATGTATTGTATATGTAAGTATGCATGTAATATATATGTTGATTGCTACTTTACCTTTACATTACCCATACCAGTGATGGCGAACCTATGGCATGTGTGCCACTGGTGGCATGCTGGGCCTTCTCTGTGGGCATGCGGCCATAGGTTCGCCATCAATGCAGTGTAGGCACCTGCCTGCCCGAAACGGCAGGCGCCTACTCTGCTTCTGTGTCGGGAGGCAGGGGGAGGGTCTCTGAAACAGCTCCCCTGTCCTCCCGCGAGCAATCTGTGTGGAGTGTTGCCGCGCGTTACCATGGCAACACTCCACACAGCGTCACGCAGGAGCTGCCCCCTACAATACTTACCCCCACCGGACCACCAGGGATACTGTGTCCCCCCCTCCTTCATTAAAGGTAAGAAGGGTGGGGGATACAGATTTAGCATACTTTCTTTTTTTTTTACCACCTTTACCACCCCTACACCCCACACAGCACCCCTACCCCCCCAACACACAGCACCCCTACCCCCAACACACATCACCCTACCCCCACACACAGCACCCCTACCCACACACAGCACACCTACCCCCTCACACACAACACCCCTCCCTCCTCCCCCACACAAAGCACCTCTACCCCCACACAGCACCCATACCCACATACAGCATCCTCCCACACACAGCACCCCTACCCACCCCACACAAAGCACCCTACCCCCCACACACAGCACCCTTACCCCACACACACACAGCACCCTTACCCCCCACACAGCACCCCTACCCCCCAAATGCCTTGTTTGCCTTGTGGTAAATACAGCCCTGGCACCAGCATAGTGTGCAGATATAAAAGCAGGAAAAAAGAAAGGACTAGTAGGGCTTCAAAATAAACAAAATAGCGGATTTGTTGTAAGCAGACGTGCATTTACATATAATCAATGTTTTAGTCCAACTACCTTGACATATTAACCCCTTAAGGACCAAACCTCTGGAATAAAAGGGAATTATGACATGTCAGACATGTTATGTGTCCTTAAGGGGTTAAGGAAAGTTTCGTAATTGGACTGACATTGTGAATGGATGTTATTTCACAGCATTTTGCTCATTTTGAAGTAACAAGAGTGTGATCTTCACTTTGGCCGACAACTGGATTATCTCAGTCAACGCCAATTTAATTCCAAAAGGAAAGCATTGGGAGGCTATTGCGCATGTGTGGCAAAACGCTGCACTTTACCGCACCAATCAGCATCTCCTCATAGAGATGCATTGCATCAATGCATCTCTATGGGGAACATTCAACACCTCCATGCAGAGTGTGGAGATGCTCAACATAGGTGCTGCACATTGTGCAGCACTGGACTGGGAAGCAGCTCTCGTGGCTGTCTGAATGACTGTCACTAGAGATGTTCCTAGGCAGCAATGTAAACAATTCCCCCCAAGCCCCATGTGTCCCATTAGTTCCCCCCAGCCTCCATGTGGCCCATTAGTGCCCCCCCAGCCCCATGTGTCCCATTAGTTCCTCCCCCCAGGTGTCCCATTAGTTCCCCCCCAGCCCTCATGTGTCCCACTATTGCCCCCTCCAGGTGTCCCATTAGTTTCCCCTCCCCAGCCCCCACATGCACCATTAGTTCTCCCCCCAGCCCCCAGGTGTCCCATTAGTTCCCCACCAGCCCCCAGTTGTCACATTAGTTCCTCCCCCAGGTGTCACATTAGTCACCCCCCAACCCCCATGTGTCCCATTAGTCCCCCCGGCTCTCCCTGTACCTTGATGTAGTGTGTCCGAGCAGGCAGACCACGTGGAGGACCTCCTGCTCACTGTACCTGGTCTGACAGGAAGCAATCTGCCAGCTTGGCCACACTACGTTCTGTGACCGGCAGGAGGGGAGCGCATCCACTCCTGCCGGTTACTCTGTAATTGCGCTGTGCGCACTAGGTGGTCCGATAGTGTGCCGGCCCACCAGGAAATTTCCTGGTATCCCGGTGGGCCAGTACGGCCCTGAGGACAAACAAGATTTTGTTCGAAAGCATTTTTAATATTTTGTGAAATAATTAAAATCGTGAAAATAACAGTTAAAAGCTCATCTATCCACATTTTAAAATAAAATGAATTTAACAAAATATTCAAGGATACGAGGGTTAATTTGTGGCTAGCAGTTTATTGATCCAAGGGGGAACTGGACTGACAGTTTGGAGTCAAGAACGAATTTTTCCCATTTTGTGGCAAAATAGTTTGAAACCTATTTTTGGATCAGCAGGAACAGATGTGAAAGGACTGAAGTGTTATTGTGCCTGTAATACTATATAACCATTTATTGATCGTTCGTTTGATTGGTAGATTAACCATTACCTGAGTCCTAGGGTCCGTTCTCTGCAGAGACCTTACTTATTGTAACATCCAAAAGGGCGAATTTGAATCCAATATTTATTATTTTGCTGTAGCCATCGCATGATTAACAGTAGAATCACTGGAGCCAAAATGCAAACACTGCAGGTAGAGGGGATGAGTAAAAAGGATGGGATTATGGAGCAAATATAACATAGCCGGGGGTATCCAGTTAGCCTATCCTAACCATTGCCAATAGTTTCACCTTGATTTCACCAAGTTATCCAATAACATACGCAGATATATTGTATATAAATATATTGTAAAGACTGGCAAACTATCTAGTTTTAAATGAAAACCATAACAACTACAGGCTGTTTTAGAGCTTATGGTGCTAGGGGTGCCCTGACGGCCCCTCCAGTGGAAGTAGTCAAACTGCCTTTTGAGTATATCTCAACTGAGCTAAGCAACCAGGAAGTAACTGGACCGGGTGTCTGATTGACAGCCAGGTGGGTGTAACAAGGCTTTTACAAGCTGTTATTAGATATATCTCCAATTTTAAAAAAAAATGCATGATTAAATGCATGTCTACTTTCGTTGGGGGTATATGTACTAAACAGTG